GTTAGCCAGGATGGTCTCGATCTCCTGACCTCATGATCCGCTAGTCTCCCAAAGTGCTGAGATTACAGGTGTGAGCCACCACGCCTGGCCAGAAAAATATTATTTGTTCTGTAGCAATGGAGAGTTTGCTACAAGGGTGCCATTAGATAAGCTTGCCTGGCATAAGTAATGCATTTTTGTTTGTTGTCATGTAAACCAGTTGCAGTTTTGACCTTTCTTTTAAGTTATGCTTCCCCCCTCTCCCAGTTTGTGTCCCATATCTTATTTTAGCTCTTTTTCAATCACTTGTTCTGCTTAGCCAGGTGTATTTTCCTGTAGAATCATTCCTTCCATCACCTTTAATCCTCTGTGGAGCTGTTAAGACACATCTAAGATCCAACATCTAAGATTTCCCTAATGGTTTTAGAGTGATTTCTGCACCATTCCCACCTCTTCCAGGTATGATCTTGTCCCTTTTTACTGCTCTGATCACTGTCTCACATTTAGGTTGAAGCTTCCAGCCATAATGACTTTTTTCCGTTTCCTCCTGCAAACCAAACCCATTGTTGTTTCAGTAGTTTTGCACTTTCTGTTCACTTTGTATGAAAATTTCAGGTCTTACACAGAAGCCTGTTTCTCAACATTCAGGTTTCAGTTCAATTTTCTCCTTCCTCGAGAAGACTTCATTGACTGTACACACTCTCCCAGTCCCTTCAGTTTATTTTCGTTAGACTTTTAATCACCACTAGAACCTATTTTAATTAATTGGTTAATATGTTTATTTTCTGACTACCACTAGACTAAATGAGGGTGTTATCCATATCTGTCTCGTTTGCTACTTTATGCTTAGAACCTAGAATAGTGCCTGACAGGTAGGAAGCACTAAATCATTTTTTGTTAAATAAATATATAAATTTTAAGTTGTGGTAGGAAACAGAATGTTGGTCTAGACAAATAGAGATCTAAATATGGTATTTCTTGCCATGCATTCAAGTACTCTAGGGCCTTGCGAAAGTGTATTCAGCGGACACCAGCATATGCCTCCCCTGGAGTTTGCTGGAAATGCAGCCTCTCAGATTCAACCCACTGAATCACAACCTTAATTTTTTTTTTTTTTTTTTTTTTTGGTGGAGACAGGGTCTCACTCTGTCGCCCAGGCTGGAGTGCAGTGGTGCGATCTCGGCTCCCTGTAACCTCCGCCTCCTGGGGTCAAGCGATTCTCCTGCTTCAGCCTCCCATGTAGCTGGGCCTACAGGTGCGCACCACCAGGCCCGGCTCATTTTTGTATTTTTAGCAGAGATGGGGTTTCACCACACTGGCCAGGCTGCTCTCGAACTCCTGACCTCATGATCCGCCTGCCTTGGCCTCCCAAAGTGTTGGGATTACAGGCGTGAGCCACTGCACCCCAGTCTCAATCTTCATTCTTAAAAGATCCCCAGGTAATTTCTATGCACATAAAATCTAAGAAACAATGCTCCAGAATTTTTCTCCACTTATTGTCTTCCGGTTTGATTAGAACCAGATTGTCTCTTGACAGGCAGCTATATAAAACAAATTCATCTGGACTTCATACCTAATGGCATTTGCTTCTCTGTGCAGATTCTCTTTATACATCTCTTCATACAGAGTATCCATGACTGAAAACATTTATTCAATGAATAGTTGCTGAATGCCCATCTTCTGTCAGGCACTATGCTAAGAATGTATGAATGTTGTATACATCATCTCAGCTAATTCTCACAATAACCTTTTGACATTGGTATGACTATTTTTACTTTAAAAGAAATTGAGACTCAAAAAGTTAAGTTACCTTTCTCAAATAACAGAAGTTTGACTAAAGGAACATAGATTTGAAATGAGTTCTGACCAATACTCCAATCTGCTTTAGAACTAGATTGGGGTTCTTCTTGGTGGGGAACTGAGGATGCTAAGACAGTGAATAACAGATAAGTCTTTGCTTCCAAAGAAGTCAAGAGACAGGTACTCTCAAGTTGTTTGTCAACATAGTGATACATGGTGCCAGTCACACAGTGCTTCATATACAAAGACATGTATCACTGATGAGTCCAGTGTGACATGTTTTGGCTCACAGCCATTGAACAAACAGCAATTGATCTAGGAGAATATGGAATCATTACATTTTTGATTTTGCTTTCAATGAATGCTTTAATCAACTCAGCTAATTGGAACCCTTAGGAGCTGTCCTCTTTTTAAGCTAAATCTTCAGCATTCCAGGCATAAGTCATCTGGGAAACCATAGGCAAATAAAATAAAAAGTTGGGTCAGTGGTTATCACAGGCAACTTCATAACTTGTCAATTCCAGCCACTTTTTTAGGCTGTTAATTTTATCTTACTTATAAGGTTAATTGAATCTGACTTATAAGACCTTACTCTACTCTTAAGGTCTTATAAGAGTAGCAGAAAACAATTTCATCTCTTTTCCTCACATTCAATTTTGTTTCGGATATACTTTATTTTGATTGGATAGGAACTGTTTTGCATAACATTACTTCAGAGTATATATAGGAATATATTAAACATGCACATACCTAAATATCAGGTTAATTTATACTCATCGATATAGAGAAATGGAAGTTTTGCTGCTTAGCACTATGGAAATTCCACTTTTTCATATAAGCAGCCCCACAGTTAGTACATATTCATCCACCAGATATCCCCACCATAGAGCTATTTGAGACTTTGATTATCTAAGTGTGCATCCCATTAAATCTGGACAGACACATCTGATTATCACTACTGTGATTTATGTATTTCTATCACTGGTGTAGGTACAAACCAATGCAACTTGTTTTTCTTCTTTAGTCTCTCTGAGGACAATTTCTTAGCTAGATTTACATTTAGAATCCTCCTCATGCTTGCCTTTGTGTATTAATATTAAATATAATATCTTTTTGGTATACATTTACCAACATAAATGGTTTCAAAGGAAGGATTACTTTGCATTTATATAACTTTGTTTTTCTCACCCACAAAGGTCTAGGCATTATAAC